ACAATGGACCAACATCTTCTACTTCTACATTCACTAATGCGTTCATAACAGTATCTGAGTAGAAGGTACTTTTTCAAAAAAAAATTAATCTTGAATAACCAACAACCGGAAGTGGTAAACATCCATATTTGCTTCTTCTTTTTGTAAAAAAAAACAACATAAATCCATAAAACACATTGCTGGAAAACCAAGAATATACAAAAATAGATTAGCAAAAGAACCAGAGAGAGTGAATAACCTGGCATCTGGGCAGGTATGGCCTCCAAGAGCAGCAGAATGTAAAGCAAACACAAAAAAATTGGGTAAAATCTAGTTCCCATTTTGCCCTTTTTTCTTCTCGAACGGAAATGGGACTAACGAACAGATGATGGCATGAGATTGCTGGATCCAGACAGTGTATTCCGACGAAAAAGAGACGGGAAAAAAAGAAAAACTAAAGTTGAAGTATTGGGTTTCTCTTCATTGATTGATGGAGTACTTACTTGGAGTGAGATTTAATGCCTGGGAATGAAAAGGGAATGTTTTTTTGCAGATGATTATCAACATATTGATTGAGGAGAGAGAAGGGTGGTCAATTGCAGATTTACAGGGTTTTTCTTGTTGGAAGAGAGTACCTTTTTAAAAGCCGATACAGCCGCAGCAAGGAATCTGTATATACTTTCTGTTCACATGCCACCCTCTTCAAATTTTGGGACTCCCTCCTCTCTATATATCCAAATAAAAACTTCTTTTTGTATCAACTCTATAAGTAAGCACAATAGGGTATGACACATTATTTAATTCGTACAGATAATTTTAATTATCAGATATTATAGTTTGGTATGAGATTTTGCATTGTATCAAGCTCTATTCTAAAATATCAGTTTGATACTCCCTTCATCCTATATCTTTCTTTCCGTTGCGCAAAACAAAGAAAAATCCCAAGTTTTTTCAATCTATTTTATTTAAATATTGGTATAAAAAATAAAACATACATATTTAAAAACTACATCAAAAGTTCAATAAAACAAGTGGTTACAAGAATATTTTATTTTATCATATAGGCCATGAAAAAACACAAATAAATATAAATTCTCGTGAAGTTGGAATAGTGCTCTGGAAAGAAAGTTTTAGGACGGAGGAAGTATGATTCAAGATTATTCGATTTTAATTTTCAAACAAGTTGAGATGAATACATACATATCTACTATACACTTTAAAATGTAAACAGTATCTCTTTATTTTTGAAAAATTGAAAGTACATTTTTGATCTCAAAGCACTAGGGATTGAAGGAGAGAGTATATATTAATTGAAAGTATATTTAGATAAATAAATATAAAAAACTAAAAAATAAATATTTAAATGTAAGAAATGTGTATCAAAAGTTCAAAACTTTGTTTGTATTCACAGACTAACGATAACAAAATAGTATTTCGAATTTTTATGAATATTTTTATATTGATATAATAGAAACTAAAACTTAAATAAAAGTATAACTTACACATAATAGAACGTAAACCAAATTTTCAAAATAAATTACTCCGTATTATTTAGTGAAGAACTATAAAAAATTATTATTTTTATAATATATTAGTATATATATATATTGGGATTTTCGGCATAAGACGTCACCTCGTACTGTTTCCAAATACCGTATCGACCGTTTGGTTTTTTCTCGATATTTTTTCAGTTTGATATTTTTTGGTTCGTTATTCTCATCTGGTTTCTTAAGAAACATATTGGGATCTATTTGGTACTTGCTAACCCCTAATTTACGCGTTCAAATTATATTTTAATACTTTCTTTATTTTTTTATAGTACTTTTAGTTATTTATTTTAATTCTTGGAACAATAACATAATTATGTTATTATAAAATGTGGACTACGAGGTAAAATAAAATAATTATGTTATGTATGCTAAGTTACTCATTTGTAAATAAAATAATTTAAAAAATTGTGAGATTTTACCTCGTAGTCCACATTCTTGCCCTCCTCACAACATGCTTTTATAAGAAATTGTGTGCTTTAAATATATGTAAAGATTAGTTTCAAATTTTAACTGAATAGGTTGACATTTTATTTGGAAATACCTTTGTGATGAACATTAGCAATTTAAAATTTTGAATAACTTTATAAGGTGTATTTTAGTTCTAAAAACACTAAAAAAATATGTTGGACAATTTTTTTGAAGTTACTGAAACTAAAGTCTTAATTAAATACTCCCTCCGTCCCTCTGTATTTGTCCACTTTCATTTTTACACACCATCCAATGCACTTCTTTAATCCCTTTTATCTTGTAATTTATACATTAAAAAATTATAAAAATTATATATTAATAATCTATATGTTAAGACAAATCAAACAAGATCAAACATGACTATATTTAGGCTTACACATTGAGAGAATTTGATGAGTCAAAGTGCTTAGATGAACAGTTCCAAAAGTCAAATGTGGACAAATACAGGGGGACGGATGGAGTATAATTTCATTCAAAATTTCAAACATTATACCGAAAATATTCTAAACTGAAATTTATTAAGTGACACAGGGATCTCATAAAATACTTCTTCTGGTCTAGAGTATTTATTTAATTTTGACTTTTTACAATTACTTTAGATCAAATTTTGATCTATAAGTAAAAAAATTAATAATATACTAATTAAATAAAATAATATTCTAAAAATATATTATAACATAAATCTACTAAAAAAAATTTTATGCTAACATATAATATTGATTTTTTTTGAAGACATAAATTTTGAAAAATTTACACTATAGAAGACTAAAACATAAGTCATTTCTAATGTAGAAATCAAGTTTTTTATTCCCTAAATAGTACTCTATCCGTCCGGAAATTTTCTTCCCGTGTTGACTTGGCACGCTTATTAAGGAATAGTAAAAAAAATGCAAAATTTTCAAAAATGCACTTAGCATAAACTTTTAAATATCCTTTTATTATTAAAAAAGTATTAAAAAAGTAAATTTGTGATAAAATAGAAGGGTATAATTGATATTTAGCCTTAAAAAGCATACTAAAAAAGGAAATGAGAAGAATATTTCCGGACGGACTAAAAAGGAAAATGGGAAGAATATTTTCGGACGGAGGGAGTACTTATTTATAATGTCGAGTGGAAAAATAATATCCAAGTGATGGTGGACATTTACTTAAAAAATGATTAATGAATAATGATCAATGGACCTATATTGAAAAATAAAAAAGAATTAAACTAGGGGTACACCAAACATGGGGTACCCCAAATGTACACCAAGCCAACACAGACACACACAGACACAAAGTGTCTGTGTTGCACAAACATTTTGTGTCTGTGTGTGTCTGTGTTGGCTTGGGGTACACTTGGGGTACCCCATGTTGGTGTACCCCTAGCATTACCCAATAAAAAAATATGATCCTATATTTAGAAAGACATTATATTTTAATTCTATTTAGATAAATTATCCATAAATTTTATTTAATTAATGTTCAAAGTTTGTGAATTTTGGTTAAAAAAATTAAAAAAAAAACTGGATAATTTGGAGATTGGAGAATGGAGACGCGTGAATCTCCCCCTTCCCTCGATCTGCAGAGCCGATATTCCCCCCTCCGCCGGTGGTTCACGATTGGCCATTGTCCGGCGAGGTAAATTTGCTGCATTACTCCCTCCGTCTTCACGGATAAACATGTGTTGGAGACAGATTTGCCGTCCTTCCTTCTCCAAACTCTTCTCGCTCAGATATATTATCCGGCGTCCTCCAGTCATCCCTCAGTCGAGTAACTCGAGTTGATGAAGATGGCGTTGGAATTAATTGAAATGATTGAATGCGGCTTAGGCTTTAAAAAAATTGTGTCCAAAAATTCACTGAATTGTCTCCACCAATATTGTGTTTATCACTTACAAAACATGTTGTGAGGAGGGCAAGAACCTTGAGCATATATGATACGGAGTATCATTTTTTTTGCATAATAATATATAATCTCTTTGGAAATATTGGGCTATAAGACCTTAGTTGTTAATATTTTTGTGATTGCAGCTTTACTAATTCACATCCAATGGAAAAGTGTCAGCACACATTTATTTCAACTTGAGCTTCATACATTTATGGTGTTGGTCTTGATATTAAGGAGTCTATTGCAGCCTAAAGTGAAGTTCAGGTTTTTTTTTTTCAAATGACTTCTTTCTTGATAGGGAGGGAAGTGGTAGTGATAAATCACAGTCCCAAAGTTCTGCAGACCTCGAAAGTTCTCCAACGCTTTCTTCTGCAGAGAACAGGAATGGTTTGTCCTTAGCCAAGGCCCAAATGTTTACTTAGTTAAAGAGCCATGTTAATATTGCCTTTGATGTTTCCTTATAAACTCCATGTTTGGTCTTGGGGCTAAGGGAGGGGGGTTTGAGTCTTTTGTTGATATTATGCAGAACAATGTATAAAGGGAGTGGTTTTAAAAAGTTAGGAAGGACACAGAAATACTCGCGAGTGACCTTTTAAGTGGAACTTATGTGCACGCCTATGTAGATCATATCGATCTCCTTAGAGGCGTAATAGTTGGGTCGTTTGTGATGTCATATCAAGATGGTCCGGTCTTCATTAGCATACTCTCGTGAACGGAATTATCCAATTTTCTGCACCATGGTACCTCCCCCTGGAAGCGTGAGGGACTCAATGATAAGCTAGAAGTGTGTCGTCATGCCTTGGAATCCATCTAAAGGTTTTCGTTTGAGCAGGATTAAGACCGAGTACATGGAATGCTGCTTTAGTGGTCAAGCGATTGAGTTGGAAGTGGAACTAAGGGTTGATTCACACCGAGTGCCTAAAAGAGATAGGTTTTGGTACCTTAGTTCGATGATTAAGGGTACATGGGGATGTTGCCCATCACATTGAAGTCCCTTGGCTAAAATGGAGGCTAGCTTTAGGTGTCCTTTGCGACAAAAATATAACAGACTGCTTTGATAAAGTTTCATCGACCATTTGATAAGTTCAGTGGAAGCGTTACAGACTGCTTTTTGCCTAACAAAACTGAAATGCAAATTACATTGGGAACTTATTATATCTTATGATGCCTCAGTCCGTATTCTACATCAGCTCCCTTGGGGGAGATTGATCATTCTCATTGCATCTTTGCAGGATATGCACAACATCTTTCATGGAAGGCCTTCTTGAAGGAAATATTGAGGTGCACGCAAGGCCTAATTTGAAAACGGTGGTTGCTTCCTTCAGATGACGTGGACCCTTGATCTCTTCATCTAGGGCATCCACAACTGAATTCCCCTCTCTTTGATGTCTGTGGGCCCATTGTGCCAGGTTCACTTCTTCATATCTAGTTACAGCTTCTCTACCGGTCGTCAATTCCAATAGGACTACACCAAAGCTATATACGTCGCTCTTTACGTTCACTTTTCTTGTTCTCCCATACTCTGCAGTTTTGGGGAAATGAGTTAAAAGTTCTACGATGCAAAAAAGCCTACCAACTTGATTTAAACAAAGACTTTATGCAGCATTTAAAGCTCTTGATTGACACAAACAAAACTGTAGAAAGCTCTCCAGAAGTAAACAAATAATAAGAACGGTTCCAAAAACTCTTTTATAGACGAATAAAAACACATGTTTGTTTGGATAGAATAACTCTTTGGATGAAGATCTATTTGAGCAAGAACTTCGCAACTCTCTTATGGCTTGATAGGAGGATATATTAAGAGTAGAATGACTTAAAATTCCGTGGCTATATAGGCTAGAAAGAAGAGAAAAGTTGCTACAATATCAAAAGAAGTTTTGTGAGGAATATGATTGAACTTATGAGAATATTTATAAGTAGGAATTGAAGTTGTCAAGATAGGGGAGGCATACCTGTATGTCAAGATAGGGGAGGCATACCTGGGGAGGCATACCCACTGGATCTCCTTGACTTGCAAGCATCTTTGCCAGTCCAAAATCTGCAATCTTGGCATTGAATTCGGAGTCCACAAGTATGTTACTGGACTTGATATCTCGATGAACAATGGGCGGGTGACAGTGGTGGTGCATATGGCAGAGCCCTTGTGAAGCTCCGATGGCTATTTTCAGCCTTCTTTCCCACTGGGTAGAACTCTCAACAGACATGGATTGGTTCCTCTTCCCATGCAACCATTTGTGAAGGCATTCTTTGTCCATGTATTCATAGACTATGAGCTTTGTGGTATTCCCTGTGATGCAGCATAACAGCTTCACAATGTTGTTGTGCCTGATTCCTCCTAGGATCTTAACCTCTGCAAGGAACTGTTTCTCCAGCATGTGGCCTTGCAGTACTTGGTGCCGTATGCTTTTAACTGCAAGACTCTTGCCTCTCTTTGTCATCACTTTATATACTTTTGCTGAACCTCCATTTCCAACCAAGTTCTCATCTATTAGACCTGCCAGTACCTCCCATTTATTGAATTTTAACCGTTGATATGAAATCATACTCACATCATCATTCTTATCATTTACAGTTCTCCTTTCCATCCCAAGCCTGAACACGGCTAGAAGAATTACTACCCCGATTACTGCCCCTGCAATTGCACTACAGGTTATAATGATTTTCTTTCTTTTACTAGGCATGGACTTGCAGCTTTTCTGTCCTTGAAATGCATAATCAGAACAATTATCTGATTCACATCTTGGCAGTCCCAATGTGGGTACACTGGAGCATAAATTTTCTGGATCGAAACAGGCATTTGGAAATCTATTGTTCACTAGATTTTCTGGGATTCTCCCAGAAAGGTGGTTCGAACAAATACTAAGGGTCAGATTAGCCCTCAGTGCGTAAAAAGTTTCCCATATGTCTCCGGATAATTGGTTGTGGGAAACATCAATATCTTTGAGGTGCAGCTGCTGTTCAAATTCTACTGGAATAGTTCCATTCAAATTGTTAAAAGCAAGTGAAAGTTTAGACAATCTATGTAAATGTGAAAATGCAGCAGGTATAGGGCCACTGAAAGAATTTGCAGACAGATCCAAGTGGACAAGACCGTATAGATTTGATATTTCTTCTGGTATTGATCCGTTCAGACGGTTACTGGAGAGATCAAGAGTCTCCAAACTGTAAGCCAACAACTGTGTGGGTATGCCACCAGATAACATATTTTGGCGAAGATCTAACCGACGCAGCCGTTTCAAGGAAAAAAACTCTCCGGATATAGTTCCTGTCAAAAGATTCGTCGACATAAGCAATGTTTCCAGCTTTGAGCACCTGGAGATGCCAGCTGGTATGGGACCTGAGATGCTGTTCGTGCTGAAATTGATGGAGGAAAGGTTCTTGATCTGGCACAGAAGTGGAACGAGGAATGATCCTCGGATGTCCATTCCCGGGAGCCATATCTCTGTGACGCTTCCCTTGGTGCATGAAATAAAAGGCCACTGACACGGAGAGGTCGTCGAGTTCCACTGGTAAAGGTATGCTCCATTTCCCCATTGTTTTTTGAGGCCAAGTAAAATAGCCCTTTCAGTTCTTGAAGTTTGTGAATTGGCTATGTATAAGAGAAGGAAAGTAATTAAGAACAAGGAGGCAACTTGTGGGTGCATTTTTTTTTTTTTTGCAAATAAAACTAGAAACCATGCTCATGAGCATTATGAATCTGGCATGTTGTTTAGAGGTGGCAATCGGATCAACCGGATCGGTTTCGGGTTGGACTTTTTCGGTTTGGATATCTTTCGGTTACATGTTATAATCGGTTCGGATCGGTTAAATTTCGGTTCGGATTCGATTTCGGTTCTATACATTTTCGGTTCGGTTCGGTTTCGAGTCGGTTCAGATACGGTTCGATTATAAATCGGTTCAGATAGATTTTGATTCGGATACAATTTGAGTCGGATATATTTCGGTTTCGGGTCTAGTCCGGTTCGGATATATTTCAGTTTCAGATATATTCGATCGAGTGGACTACAAATTATGAAAAAAAATATTTTATGATGATATAAATTTAATATCATAATATTAATTTTAAAATTTAGTTTTGATATAATAAAATTTTATCACTTCAAATAATATTATGAGTAACTTTCCTAAATAGCGCTAAAACACAATGACTTTTCCAATTAAAATGTTACTCCGTATTATATTAAAAAATAAAACTCACATTAAATAAATAAGAGAATAACTCTTTAAGTAATCCAATTACAATGTCTATTATTAATGGAATACATAACTATTATACATGTATGTGCATATGAAAAATAATACATTAATTCTTCTTAAATAACTTTGTTAGACATTTCATTTTTTGGAGATATCGTGGTATGCGAGCGAATGATGTATTTATTAATTCTTGTATGAATCTTATTATTCTACACTTTATTTGACTAATTATATTTATAATATTGATAGAAAATATATTTTTAGTTTTTAAGGAAAAATTTTACTTTTTTGTTTTATTTTACCATCTTTAGGAATTAAAATTTAATTGTATTTATTATAATTTTTTAATTATAAAATTACATGCATTATAAGTTTTTTTTAGAAATTTGGATATGATAACTTATTGTAGCCAGACTATTACTCCCCCGTCTCTAAATAAACTTCCATTTTTGACTTTTTGAAAATTTAAGGGAGGGATATTTTTTGTGTTAACTTTTAAAAAATACCCTTGATATGACGTGTAAATGTAAGATGTGATAGATAGATTATTAGTAAAAAGGTATGATGTGATAGGTAGGATATAAAAAAATAAGGGATAAAAGGGGTTTTTTAAAAGAAAAGAGAAGTTTAATTGGGGACAAAGAAAAAACGAAAGAGAAAATTTATTTAGGGACAGAGGAAGTAAAAAAAATAAGAAGTATAAGAATATAAAATGAATTTAAAGAACTTACAATTATTACTCCGTACTAATTTTTTAAACATAATATCCAATCAAAAAATTTTTTTAGATCTAATCTCTCCCCTAAAACTCAAATTTTCCCCCCATTTTTTCACTTTCCCTCCATTCATTTTTTTCCCATTAAAAAATAATTTTTCTTAACCCACCCATCTACCACAAGTCCACTACCCATTTCCCAATTTCAGATCTAATCTTCCTTTTAACTGATGCACAGTAAACTCCACTTCATCGACGGCGACGATCTATTTTAGATCTATTTTATTGCTCATTTGCTCTATTTTTTGTAATATTTCTAAAACATGGTAATCAATTTTATGAGGGAATGAGCAAGTAATATAATTAGTAAAATTGGTAAAATAAACGTAAAATTTTAAAAGCATAATATGCTTATTGAAAGGAAAACATACTTCCAAAATTATCGATGTAGGTTCTAATCGGTTTCGGATATAATCGGTTACGGATCTAATCAGTTTCGGGTTTTATCGGTTTCGGGTATTATCGGTTTCGGATCTAATCGGTTTCGGGTTTAATCGGTTCGGATATTATCGGTTTCGGATCTAATCGGTTTCGGATTTAAATCAGATATGAATTATTTAGTTCGGTTTCGGTTCGATTCGGATCATTTCGGATTTTCGGTTATAAATCGGATATTCATTTTTCGGATCATTTCGGTTTCGGTTTCGGATATTCGGTTCCGGTTCTGTTTTGCCAGTTCTACTGTTGTTTGAGTACAAATAAGTTGATTTGACTTTTGTTAAAAGGACTAGCTGTATACTAAGCCAAGTAGACTTGGTCAATGATGGCCTAATCCGTATAGAAGAAGCCTGGTTTAGCATTGCTACATGCTTCTTTTTTTTTTTCTATAGCAGGGTAGACTTGGTCAATCTTAGCCTCTACCTTACAATTACTCCTGCTTTCATTAAATTTTTTACTTTCCTTTTTCATACGGCCCAAAGTAACATTTTCATTCTTTCCTCTTTTGTCAAAGAACTAACACAATTAAAGCTCAAGCTTATAATTGTAGCCCTAAAAAAGTTTTATATTCTAACATGCCCAGTGCTGGGCCAAGGATGGGCCAAGGTGCCCTACCGGCCCAGGTCCATTTTTTTGGGGCCTAATTTTTTTAAATTTATATATATATATGGGATTGACTTCAGTCAGATGACACCTTACGGTGAGATGACATGCTACGGTTAGATGACACAAAGCTCACCACTGCCCACTGCAAAGCTCACCAAGGACAACTACAAAGCTCACCAAAGTGTAAGGCAAAACTCACCATATTTTTTCAACACTTTGAATTTTTTTTGAAAAAAAAATCAAAGGAAGTGATGCTGACTGGACTTTGACCATTGACCGTTGACCATCACCGGTGACCCCCTGCCGCCGCCGGCCGCCGCCGCCGACCTCCGCCGCTGTCGTCGGCGGACTCCGGCCGCCGGTCTCCGCCGCCGACCTCCGCCGGTCGCCGGCGACCACCTCCGCCGCCGCCGCCCCCGACAACCGCCGCCAGCCGCCGGCGACCACCTCCGCCACCGCCACTGACCGGTGGTTGACCGGTGTTGCTATTTTATTTTTTATTAATTTTTTAATTTTCAAAATAAAAAAAAAGGTGAGTTTTGGTGTTCAAAATGGTGAGCTTTGCCTTATTTCCAGGTGAGCTTTACATTGGCCATTGGTGAGCTTTGCAGTGTTATGTGGTGAGCTTTGCGTCATCTCACCGAAGCATGTCATCTCACCATAAAGTGTCATCTCACTGGAGTCAATCCCTATACACACACACACACACACACACACACACACCACACCCAAGGGGAAACCCTAATTAGGTCGTAAGGGTAATTATGCCCATCAAATAATTACCAATTAAATACATAGAATATATATTAGGTTAATGATTAATTAATTAGATAAATGATCACTCAGGCCACATAATAAAATCGTGTCCTACAAGAAAAAGTAGATTGAATTAGGATATAGATTTAATATCAATAGATTCATTTCTAAGCGTAGTTTTAAGATATCATATTTATTTATTCTATATTTTAATATTTATATATAAATAGAGGCCTTAATGGTCAAAGTATTGCATTGAATATCGTGAACAATCAAACAAGAAAAGAAATATGGGACACAAGGAGTAATTTTTTAATCTTGAAAAAAAATCTCAAAGCTTATGTTTTTTATTTTAATCATTTTTAAAGTACAATCTAGATTTCTTATAAATTGAGACATTGGGCAGTAATACAAACTTATATACTCAACAAAGCTATTGTTTTTTATTTTAATCATTTTTAAAGTAAATATAAATGAGTCAGGTGATGGATCGGGTGACGGGGGAGAATTGAAAAATCTTTACCCACATCCGACCTGATCCATCATTAGTTCATCCATATCTGGCAATCATCTTTTTTTTTGGAGTTTTATCCATTAAATCAGGTCGAGTAGTTTGGTGATCCATCGGATCGGGTAGAAATTTAAATCCCTAAGAGAAGTTAATTTGAGCCAAAAATTTAGTTTGATAGGAAGAAAGTTAGAATTGTTCCTAAAACATGGAAGTACTCTATACTTAGTATGGTCATTCTATTTCGCAACTCGAGTACGTTAATATTTTTGACACTGTTTTCTTAACTAAGGCCTTGTTTAGAACTTTTTCGGTAATCAATAGTTTTTGTCTCGTTATACTCCGTATTTGATAGGTTTGGTAGAAGTTTAAGTTTGGTGGAAGTTAGGGGGTGCATCACTCAAAATCTGAATGGCGACCGCGGCTGGATGGTTTGAAGTGTACTTACAATATTTTAGTCATAATTAAATAAAATAGAGTATATACGGAGTATTATACAAGTATATTAATTTAATAAAATATTATTTTGAAAATATTTCATATAATAAATCTAATAAAAGTATAATTCTATCAATATCTAATATCATTTTTATTTAGTTTGAGGTTAAAATTTTTCAATTTTAATTGAAAAGAGTCAAAAAATGGATAAATACTCAGAGACAGATGAAGTATATAAGGATGAATACATATATCATACATCTAGATGTATAATATTTCTAGTATATCTATTTTCTATCAATTGGATATTTATTTTCGAGCAATTGAATACTCATTTTGTGTAATTGAATACCCATTTTAGAACAACTGAATACTCATTTTTTACTATAACTGAATTTAGAAAAATAAGTATTCAATTTCTTGAAATGAGTACTAAGTGGCTCGGAAATGAATATTTAGTTACTCGTAAATGAGTGGTCGGTGCGAATGTACGAGTAACATCGTAAAACCGGTTGTACGGTATATATTGCGGTATAATAATGCATATACTAAAATATGTCAAATACAGAGTATAATTGTTTTTAGTTTTTTTTAAATACATACTCTGTTTCAAAAAAACTTCACTTTTTTATTTTACGTTGAAATTGAAAAAATATAATGTCAAAATTTATTTAAAATTTAGAAGAGATTTTTTAAACTGCGTGATTCTTTTCTTTAAAAGGAAAATGTGAAATGTGAGCTTTAATTTTTGAAATATCTAAACGAAAAAAGTGTGTAATCCTAGACCATCTTCAATCGTGCGGCAAATCCTCTTTGGTGTTGTCCATTACTTCAATGGTGCTTCATATCTCATCCCAAAATGACTTTTTGTAGCCCTTCTTTCCACTTCAAACGCAAATATGCGTTGTAGTACAGACTAGTGCATTTTTTTTCTTTTCTTTTTAATACAATTTGTAACATATAGCCATAGTGAAATTTGCAATGAATATGATTAAAACATAAGTCATTTTTCAATTTAGGACTTAAATTTTTTATTCCCTAAATAGGACTTAATAATGACTAGTGAGAAGAATAATGTCCAAGTAATGCTGGACATTTAGTTGAATAATGACTAATAAATAATGATCAATGGTCCTACATTAGAAAATAAAAACATATGGTCTTATATTGAGAAAGTCATTATGTATTAGTCCTATTTAGTTAATTACTCATAGCCATATAGTAATGTTTTTTTTGGCCCTGATTGCTTTTAATGCCTACTACTTTAATAATAATAATAAAAATAATAATAATAATAATAATAGTAATAATAAAAATAATAATTGAAAAAAGAAAAGTCCCTAGAGAGCAAGTTTTTGGATATTTTAAGGTACTCCGGAGTATATTTTTAAAAAAGTGGGACCTGAAGGTTCTTTCTACAAAATTGGTGGTACCCGGCCAACAACAATTTTTTGAAAGAAGAAGATGAAAAGATAACGGCACAAATGAATATGAAAGAAGGATGGACGGTAAATCTTCCGGAGTTAGTTTTTCAAATATTCAAGAGTAGCCGAAAGTATATCAACAATAAAACTTATGAGTTCTTATCACAAAATTAAGGATACTACGTATCAATTTTTTGATAGTGGAAATCACACAGAATAGGATGAAAACATAAAAAAAGTACCAAAATAGAAGTTTCATGTATTTATCCCGAAATAGGACTTCATACTGTGGTAATGTAAAACTTTACATGTGCGCATTACTATACTTTTCGGTAATGTACATGATCATGTTTGGTAATGTAAATACATTTTAACTCATATTTTAGGAATAAAAAATCATGGAAGTCCTATTTTGATATATTTTCAATGTTTTACTTCCGCTTTAGTTTTTTTTTTCTATATGAAGAGGGAGTAGATTCCAAATTGCCAATATGCCATAATAAACGTGACCTGCAGCAAGTCAGCAACCGTTGCGACTTGGAAGGGTAGATCATCTCCACCCAAATCAATTCAATGGCTAAAATTCCCCAGAAATCCAACGCTGATTCGATCGAACCAGGAGGAGAAGGAACCCCCTTCCCGCACTGGTACTCGCCGGAAACAGGGATATACCGGAGCAAGCACCCTTCCGTTCAACTTCCGGCAGATCCATTCCTCGATGTTGTCTCCCTCATCTTCTCCCACAGCCATTCCGGCGCCGCCTCTCTTGTCGATTCCCGATCTGGGTTCTCGATTTCCTACCCGGAATTTTACTCTCTGGTCAAATCGGTGGCCGGCGGCCTCCACCGGATCGGCGTTTCTCAGGGTGACGTCGTCTTGTTCTTGCTTCCCAACTCCGTTTATTTCCCCGTTCTCGTTCTCGGTGTTCTCAGTCTCGGAGCCGTGGCCGCCCCCATGAATCCTCTGAGCACTTCTTTAGAGATTAAGAAGCAAGCCCTCGGCGGCAATTGTAACGTCAGGCTCGCGTTCTCCTCCGTGGACAGAGTCGGAGACTTGGCCGAAATCCGCATTCCGGCGATCGGCTTGCCGGCAGGTACGAACAATCTCGATTTCCCGGCGGACTCTGCTTTCTTCAAGTTAATTAGCACCGATCCAAACACCGCCCCCAGGCGGAGGATCCGGCAGCAGGACGCCGCCGCCATTCTGTTCTCTTCCGGGACCACGGGGAGTTCCAAGGGCGTCATCCTGACGCATGCAAACCTCATCGCCACAGTCGAACTCTTCGTGAGGTTCGAAGCGTCTCAGTACGAAGGCGGGTGCCGCCGGAGCAGAGAGAATGTGTACCTCGGCGTCCTGCCGATGTTCCACGTGTACGGGCTTTCACTGTTCGTGATGGGCTTGTTGTCGTTGGGCTCCACAGTGGTCGTGATGAGAAAGTACGACGAGGACGAGATGGTAAGAGCGGTCCAGAAATACGATGTGACACATATCCCGGTGGTCCCACCCTTGTTGAGAGCACTGACAAGGAAGGCAAAGGTGGGGACAGGGACAACTGCTGTCCTTCTGAAAGGGGTGAAACAGGTTTCATCAGGGGCAGCCCCTGTCCCCGCCGCATGCATCAAGGACTTCCTGCAGACTTTCCCCCATATCGACTTCATCCAAGGCTACGGCCTGACGGAGTCGGCTGCAGTCGGAACTCGCGGGTTCAATACCGCAAAGATTCGCAAGTATTTGTCGGTGGGACTCTTGGCCCCAAACATGGAGGCTAAAGTAGTAGATTGGAATACATTTTCACCTTTGCCTCCCAAAAGTAGTGGTGAACTTTGGCTAAGAGGGCCTTCCATCATGAAAGGGTACTTGAACAATGAGGAGGCCTCCAAGAGGGCAATAGACCACGAAGGGTGGTTGCACACCGGAGACATTGTCTCTTTCGACGAAGACGGGTACCTTTACGTGCAAGACCGTCTGAAGGACATCATCAAGTACAAGGGCTTCCAGATCGGCCCTGCCGATCTGGAAGCCGTGTTGATGTCGCATCCAAATGTCATTGACGCTGCAGTGACATCTGAGGTCGATGAGGAAGTGGGAGAGATACCGGTGGCGCTAGTGGTGAGAGGGAACGATTCTGCATTAACTGAGGCAAATCTAATTGATTTTGTGGCCAACCGCGTCGCACCTTACAAGAAGGTGAGGCGAGTGTATTTCACAACGTCAATACCCAAGTCCCCTGCAGAGAAAGTTCTGAGAAAGGAGCTAAGGAAACTCCTCCCATCCAAAATGTAGACCTCTTTTACTTGGCAAAGAAGAGGCTAAGCTAGGTACCAAAAAGGTTTAATACAATAAATTTACATATATGTATTGGAGTATATATAATGTATAAAAAAAGCATCAAAATGCAAGTGCACCATATCAATTCTTATTTGCAATTGTATCTTGTCGAAAATGAAAAGAGTTATGCCTTAATTACTTAAACGAGACTAGTTTTTGGGATGAGTAGTTAATAACCAGCAATTAAGATAATTGTCATGTAAAGCCATAAGAGTTTGGACATTATAATATTTTCCATCTTCACTATAATAAAAACAAAAAAAGCAAAAGAGAGTGGCCTGGGATTCATGAATTCTTATTGAATCGGCCTGGATAGATTTACACATTTGTAACGTCTGTTTATTTTATTCCGTCATATTTGTTCCAACCAGGCCACCTTGTGGAAGAATCCTATATACATACATACATACATACATATATATATATATATATATATATATATATATATATATATATAGTTTGGTTCCGGTGAGAAAGGGATCTAATGAAAGAAATAAGAATGCCTTATAGCCATTAGATCTTGATCCATCTAGATGATTTTTATGATTTACATACGGGGCATTTTGGGATTTTTACTTCTTAGTCGTACCTTTCCTATTACGTCTCCTTAAAATTTGCGCAGGATCCCCACACTTTTTGTCTTCCGTTTCTTCATCTGCAAAGCAATTCTCCTTTTTTCTTCATCAAAGGCTAAACTTTGCAGAAGTAATTGAGGTTTGTTCTCCTAATTTCTTTTCAATTTCTTGATCAATTCATCATCAACCCATGTTTCTTTTTAATTTTATGGCTTTTCTTGAGGTGGTGCAAAATTTCTCCGAGGTTTGAGATCGGAAAAACACTCCCAAAGATATGAGATTTTATGTGATTTTTTTGTTGGTTTCCTTTCGTGGTTGTTTTGTCTTGTGTTGCTGTTAGTCTATTTGCTCATTTTTGGTTCCAAGCACTATGATGAATACAAGGTGTTTGATAAAATGCCTTAAAGAATCAAATGAACAAAATTGGTGATGAGGACAAACCTAATGCAGTCGAGGGATCTCTTAATGCCTCAAAACAACCTCAATATGCATTTCCATTAACTGATTTTAGACACAATCAGATTTTTCACACAAGGTTATGCATTCTTGTCGTGAATAATTTTGAAAACAATCTTTTGTTTGCTTCTTTATTTATTCTAATATTTAAGTTATGTGTATTTTTTTATGAATATATATCAACTCTTGAATCAATGTTTTTGTTGCTTCTCTTGTACTCAAGTTTTAAGGTTCTGTGCATTCTTATAGTCAAGGTAATGCATTCTTACTTCACAGTGTTGCAAAATGTGAGGCTTTGTTTCTGTTAATGTAAATTTTTGTATTGCTTTTAGCACATTAAAATTACATTGCATTTTAAGAGGTGTAGTAAAAACTCAAATATCGATTCATGGAGTAAGATACTTGAAAATGCATATATTGTACTCTCTAGCTATGCATCACAGAGAATTTAAAGTGTATCGTAACATGTTTTCCATTGTTAGGGCTGTTAATTAATGTTTAATGAATAATGAGTATGTGTTTGTGCTATTGTGCATTATAGGAATGCATGTAATGCACTTACATGATAACACAATGCATTCTTAGAAACAAGGTAAAGGATTATGCATTCTATTAATACAAACTTTTAGAATCAAAGTAAAATTAATTTATGAGATAGTGAAATTCTCCTAGTAATAATATGTTTAAAATACCTTGTGATACACTTGAATATGGGTTAGAAACAATTTGAATGTTGTAATTTTTAAAAGATAAAAAATGCTTATTTAATAAGTCTAGATTACTCCATCCATTTTCTTTTATCGTTTTTACCTTTGAATTGTTTGTTTTTTAATGATATTGTGCATCATCTGTATCACGGTAATGCATTTTTATGAAAAGGCAATACATTATCATTATTAAGATAAATGAATGCATTCTGTTGTACATTTTAATAGTCTAAGTTGATGCATCTGATATTGAAATTCTCCTGTACCAAGTATTATGTACTTATATGTTCTACAAAGTAATTTTTTTTATAAATGACGATGCTATAAAGTGTTCTCTGTTAAATTTGAATAAAAAGTTTGAAACACGTTGAATGGTGCAAATTTTAAAAGATAAAACTACATTTGAATAGGTCCGAGTGCAAGATTAGAGTCTCTTTGAAAAAATAAATTATTGCCTATTAGCTCAAAGGATAGAGCGGTATGTACTACGGATGTGGGTTCGAATCCCGCATAGGCAAAATATTTTCTAAAATTTTTATTACACTTGTTCTAAATACATAGTACAATGCATTCTCAAACTTTCTCAACACATACATACAAAGTCACTTACAAGACAATATTCACTAATCCACAACAATAAGTCAAAAATGCATGCATAATTTACAGTATATATTGCATTTATATAGGAGAATGGTGCATAGAGAAGAAATTATCACGTGAGGAAAAATTTATGGATACAAATTTTTTAAAAGAAAGGGATAAAAATTAAAAAAATAGGTGATTAAATATGCAAAAGAAAAAGTTGTAAACCACATAATATTTTCTTTCAGAAAAATTTAATGCAAATAAAAGAATTTCTTGCACCGTGAGAAATGTAGTAAAATAAAGCAAAAAAGAAATAAAATATTACAAAGAGTTTAATAGCAAACATTAGACACAATTGTTTTTAATAAAAGAAAAATGGTTAACAAATTTAAAAAGATGAGAAAAAAAAGTGTAATTTAACTATCCATTAATACGGCTAAAAAGGAAAAAAAGAGAAAAATCATCAAAAGTGGAACTCCAATTGCGGCTGAAAAAGTGGAACCCCATGTTTACGTTTTTTTATGTGTACAATAATGCCCCTACACAATTATTTTATTCCTAAATTGATGCTATTTACCATATTAATCAAGCAATGGCGCTAGTTTTAAGATCAATTTTGGGCCCTTAGATTTGCAATATCAATGGATATCATTTATTCTTATTTCTTTCACCAAGCATCCTTCTCACATGAACCAACCCCTATATATATATATATATATATATATATATATATATATATATATATATATATATAACAAGGATCGGAGAGGCTAATTCAAGAGTCTTGCAGTTAAAATTTTGGAGAGCTGAGGTTAAGTATATATTTTTCTCTACTTATAAGAGCATCTCCAATCATATCCTTTATATATAAATTTGAGAATTTGATAAGAGCTTAACATGTGGCATAATAGAAGTATATATGTGGCAAAATATGGGGCATATTATATGGCATTTGATTTATGAGCTAGACTTCATTAAATATTATTTGACATGTGATTAAACTTTTGTTTCTGATCAAAAATTAAATTATTAAAAATAAATCCTTTATATTAAATTATTGAGAATAAAAATATTCAATAAATCCTTAATATAAAGTGATTAAACTTTTATATTAGAAAGTTCATATATGCATTACTTATGTGGCTTTTTACACCTAATATGACACATAATTTAAGACATAAAATATGAAAAAGTATTTTGGTATGAAATTTTTGAATAAATTTAATTATGAAATATTTATACTCATTTTTATAATAATACGTTTTCACGATTCAGTATTTTTTCTTCATTTCTAACAAAATTTTCAATTACTTAATACACTACTTTCTTCGCCTCTAAATAAATTTCACATGATTGTTTGTATATGATAAGTTAAAATTAAGTTAGTTTTGAATATATTTTTTTCAATATTGATATGAAATAAAAAACAACATATTTTAAAAATTACATTAATCATTTAAAAAAAGAGATGGTTGGGTTATAATAATGTTCAAGTATAAAAAAGATTACTATACATAATTTTGTAAGTAATTATTTTAGTTTTATAATTTTAGTTAATTACAAGAAAATTTATACTTTATATAGGCTTTTAGATGCTTTATCATTTAAATGTAAAAATATATTATTTTTATTAGCTATTAGGATATGTACCGTACAATTAGTCGTACAGTGTTTCTCGTACATCCGCATCAAATATTCATTTACGAGAAATTGAATATTCATTTTCGAGCAAATAGATACTCATTTTTGCGTAATTGTATACTCATTTTTCTAAAATTCGATTATGCTTGAAAATGAGTATTCAATTGCTCGAGAAAGAATATTCTGTTACTCGAAAATTAGTATTAAGTTACTCAAAAATGAGTATTCATGCGCATGTACAAGAAATGTCATATACATCCAGACAGTGGCAAACCCATACCTTCAAATGAGCAGTGTCAAGAGTAAAAGAGCCAGAACTTTTCAGGCAGATTGTGTGGGTACATGACAAGAGTTCAGAGGCGGAGTCTCTAGATTTCTTATACAAACACGATAAAAAATAACAAAAAATATCAAACTAATACGTTTTATCTTTAACATTTAAATAATTAAAATAACATAATTAAATGAAATTATTATTAATTATAAAAATGATAAAAAAATATAATGATAGCGGTGAAAAAAAGTGTAGTTAATACACATTACAGGTGGTAGATAACTAATTTTTTTAAACACAATAAGAAGCAACAAAAAACTATAGAGTACTCCCTCCATCCTGTTTTAAATCGTCTGTTTTGACTTTTGGGCATATTCAAGGAAGGGAAAAAATAGAGATGATTTTCCGAAATTGCAATTATTTTTTAGGAGGGGTGACGATGAATGAGAAGATAAGGTGGAGAAGAGTGACTTAATTTAAGGGTATTTTAGGTATTTTATTCTTAAAAGTTTACGATAACAAGTAACAGACAACTTATTTTGAGAAGGAGAAAAAAGGCAAACAAACAATTCAATATAGGACAGTGGGAGTAATATACATTTTCCTCAAACATTCAAATGATTCAAAATAACAAAATTATGGACTAGAAAGAATTATTATTAATTATATAAAAAATTATTGTCAATATCTAATACTCCCTCCGTCCCTGAGTGTTTGTCCACTTTCATTTTTGCACACCATCCAATGCACTTCTTTAATCCATTTTATCTTATAATTTGTATATTAAAAAATTATAAAAATTATATATTAATAATCTATATGTTAAGACGAATCAAACAAGATCACACATGACTATTTTTAGGCTTACACATTGAGAGAATTTGATGAGTCAAACTGCTTAGATGAACAGTTCCAAAAGTCAAAAGTGGACAAACACTCAGGGACGGACCAAGTACTATTTTATATTCTAACACCCTCTCACGTGCATGCGTAGTCTTTTTCGAGCCTTGCACGTGAAACTTTAATTTTCTTAAAACTGGGTGGTGTCGACTTTCGAACATGTGACCTCTTATGATAACTGGATTGGGCAATAAGACACTTTGGCTAAACCACAGTAAAAGATTGAATCCAATTGATTAGTTAGTTCAACACTTCAACTCAAGACCTTATATACCGATTATTTTTCTCTTGAACTTTTGATGTGGGATGTACTCTAACAGTTACCCAAACCTCATTAGTAAGAGTCATTTTGGGAGGTGCCCAAAAACAAATCCGTGAGAGCTTGACTTAGAGCGGACAATATCATACTAATGTGGGGTTGCGGTGAGAATATGCGCGGTCTCAAGAGGACACTGTGTATATGAAAGTTAATTTGATTTTTTTCCTTTTTAAAAAAGAAATTTAATTAACATGTTTGCCAATATTGTTCGGTTTATTTTTAATGATATCAAATTTCTAAAATGAGCTAAAAATGTTTTTCAGAATAACTAAGATCGACTGGATTTTCTCTTTCTTTTTATAACTTTTGATTTTTTCAAAAACATACTACAACCCCAAAACTCTCTTAATTGGAATATGATACCCAGCATCACTCTCAACCAATTTATTTATGGAGAGGCTATATTAACACTAGAAACGGATGTCATATTATGACATTAGACTCTAATGGTAGTTCGTTTGAAAAATTAGGGTATGTTTGGTACATGAAATTAGAAAAATTAAATTGAATTGGAAATTAAAATTCTATGAAATTCATTTGGATGAAATTGAATTCTTCAATTCCAATTCATTTTTAGCCATACCAATTCCAAATTTACATTTTTTTGCTACCAAACAACGAAATTAGAATTATAGTTATCTACTGTATTTCAATTCTATAGTTTGAATTCTGTGTACTTAAAGGGAGCCTACTAGTTCTTATCCTCTAATTCTCGATCAGTAAATCCTCGACCTGACCTTAAATTAGTTCACCTCCATACTCCTCCTTGCCTCTTATAATATGACACTCTCCTCAGTCTCAATAAATGCTAGAGTTACAAACACTTCGGTCACAAAATACACAACTTTATCATTTGTGCACCTCGCCAAGTGAATAAAATATTGTTAAATAATTAAAAGTATACATTTAAATACACAAATGGTAAGTTTGTATATTTTGTGACCAAAGTGTTTGTGACTCCAACATTTCTCTTCTAACACCGAATTCTAGAAACTTTCATGCAAAAAGAAAAAAAAGAAACATGGTTTAAATTTTGTGACCTTTCACACCAAAATAGCTAACGTGTGGCCTACATTCATAGCAAAACGTGCATTCTATATGATGCCAACTTGTAGCGAACATTGATGGCAAAACGGTGCACTTGTTGCGCCTTGTCCTGTTCTCATTCCCACATAAGTACATAACATTAAAAAAAAAGCTAAAAATACGGTTGACACCACAAGTAACAATCATTTGTAAATTTATATGCAAAAAATGATAATCTCATGTTCACGTTAATTATTATTTTGTACGTATAAGCTTATATACGATTATCATTTGTAGTATCAAGTGTAGTAAGTTTGTGACATGACTCCAAATAATATATGCACTATTGCTCTAATATGAAACTGGCCTGGTTTGAACTTGTCCTCGCTCATGGGTATGTAGTACAAGCTTTAATGATTGTTTCATAAAATGGATGGAATGTGACTCTATTTGAAAGTTCTATTTGAACTCCTGATTAAAACATGAGCTATGTTATAATTGTATAAACATTAATATTAAGTTTGACATCATTTTTTTTTAAAATATACATAAACAAGCATTGTTAGTATATGTTTATGGAATACATGATGTCAAATTTTAGTGTCAAAGTTAATGTGATTAAATTTATCCTTATGGCATGGACAGAGATCGTTTAACTTATACGAGTATTCTATTTGTTCTGGAAATTTCTTTTTCTTTTTATTTTTTTCCATAAAAAAGCTATACTTTATGTAAAAAGAAAGTAAAGTACTTTTGAGATAGATAAAGAAAAAAGTGAAAGTTTTTTACGAGACAAAGAGATTACTATGATAAAACTAAAACATAGAATAGAACATGTGCGCTCTATGTCACAAAAAAATGTCACATTATTAAATATGTAAATTTTTTCTGTATCAATCTTTAAATAAAATGAATTTAAAAAATTAATTTTTTTTCCTTATATATAATGTGACATTCTTTTTAGGACGGAGGAAACATTAAAATAAGATCTTAAACATTTTATATCAAAAATAAGAGTGTTGCTATTGTGAAATGCCCACAATGAATTGGTACTGTGTTAGTTAGTATTTGTCTGTGTGTTTTTTTTTCTTTTGAAATTCTATTTGAAGATTTTCTGTAATTATTTGACACAATAAATACGCACAATTTTTTAAAATAAATAATTGACATAATAATTATTAATACAATAAGAAACATGATTTACAGTAGTTCATTTCTCCTATTAAAAAAACTAGTATCACACCCGCGTGTTGCACAGGTCATATTTACGTTACTAAATTAAAATTATTTTTCAACGGCACGGATTTAAAAGTGCACTTGAAAGAAACGAATTACGAAAATCCTTGCAAATGATCGCATTTATACTATGAAAAGTTTTTGGCTTATTCTATTTTCCTTTTTCAAAAACTTTAATTTTTTAAATTACAATGTAATATTTTCGGCCAAATTACACGGTTGGTATTACTTACCATTTCAACCTTCCTTTTTTAACTTAAATTTTTAATTATCAACGTGTATTTATGATTCTTTCTTACCAAACCGTATATAAGAAAAACACCTTTTTTAAAATACCTAAAAAGTATAAATGGAAATACAACTGTAATTATAATCTGGATACTTTAAGATGTGAGAATATTTTTTTGTTCAAAGCAACGTTTTCAATTTTTTTAAAGACAGTAATTTTTTATACACGGTACCCTGAAAAAAGAAACATACCTTTTTTAATAATATTATTATTACATTGCTTATAATGAAGTTACCTTATTTAAAATACGTATAAAGTAAAAAAAAGGAAATATAATTATTTTTTGATCGATTTTTGGTGTTTCTTACCACTTCAACATTCTATTTTTAACTTAAATTTTTAATTATCAATGTGTATTTATGATTCTTTCTTACCAAAATCATGCATAAAGAAATCATTTTATTTTAAATAACTAAAAAGTATAAATGCAAACACAACTGTGATTTTAATTTCGATACTTTAAGGTATGAGAATATTTTTTTCCAAGGCAACGCTTTCATGTTTTTTTCCAAAGATGGTAATTTTTTATACACGGTAATCACGTAAAAGGAACCTACCTTTTTTAATAATAATAATAATAATATTATTATTACGTTGCTTATAATGAAATTGCCTTATTTTTTGATTGATATTTTTTCACACTGTCATTTCAATTTCCAAACTTTTAAATTTCATTTATAATATATAATGTTGGACCAAAAAATATTTGGTGTGAGAATACTTTTATTCACACAGTATCATAAAAAGTAATATTTATAATTTTTGTAAAAGAGTATTTAAAAGTTATACTTTTTATCCTCCGTGTTAATTATACTTTTTATAACATGCTACCATACTTAATATACTTTTTATAACACGGTATTAAAAATTTTAAGGTATGAAATTACACTGTTAATGAAAATATATTACGTGGGTAATTTAATTATCATAATTACCTTCTACTCGGCATTTTAAATTATTACACACGGTACATTACAATTCATAAATATTTATTACCTTATACATGCCACAAGTGCATTTAACACTTACCTATTTATGTTGAGCGCTTACTATCATTTAGGCTGAAAAATGCAAAGGGGAATTCCCCTCTTTTTAAATATAGCATAGATAGATGTGCCATTCTAAAACTATTTTTCTAGGTGCTATTTGCAAGGTCAAACTTTATTTATTTTTTTGATTAGTTTAATTAGTTATTTGATAAAAAAATATAATTATATTACCTATAATTTAGTAGCATCATATTTTTTAGTTTTACCCTTATAATCTAATAAGTTTAATTTAAAATAAATGCGATCAAATAAGTTTAATTTAAAAAATTCTATTACCTATAATTTTGTAGCATTAGTTTTGTCGAACGTCGACCACACACCCATGATTATTTACTAATATTTGTATTAAAGAGCGTAAATAATATAATATAATGTCGATAAGGAGATATGTTTTTCTCAACACGACATTTGTCACTACTTATACAAAAAATCTGAAAAGGAAACAATTATTTTTTAAATAAATATCATCACATTTAACTGTGTAGTTAGGTTCACAAATTTAGTTTATAAAATTAGAGGACGTATTACTTTGTAGGTATAACTAATTAATTTTTTTATATTTAAATAATAATTTAAATTTAAATTATTGGAACGTGCACCGTTGACCCAAATAAAGAAACTAACCATTTTTATTCATACACATTAAACACTAAAAGCCATAGTCCCTTTTTTTTATTAATTTAATTTTTAAAAAATTGTACTATGTAGGTATAGTATAGTATAATCAATAAACTTTTCTTTATATTTAAGAGTAATGCTACAGTCACAAACAAACAGTTCACAAAATTCAAAAACTTACCTTTTTAATATTTTCCTTGAAATAAGATGTACTCAAATAATAAATAATATTTTAATTTAAAATCCACAAAAAGCAAGTTTGTGAAGTTTGTGAATTATATGTTTGTGACTCTAGCATTTTCCTATATTTAATTCGTAATTTAAAAAATTATTACGTTTGAGGGGTAATAACCCATGGGTACCACCCGGGTGGTCTGATCGCTTGGGAGGTACCAAATGTCGCGCCGCCTGACTTGTTTGACCCGGGCTACCCGACCGGTCGGAAGGCGAAGACACAGATTCTACTATCAAAGTCGGCCTAGGCGACCGGTCAGTTCATTAACCGGCCGGATAATCAAAGACGTGCTTGACGTGCTTAGGATTATTATAAATACCCCTAAAAGCCTCATTTGTGAGGCATGCTTTAATTAATCCACACGGCTTGTACTTTGTAATAGTCACATTATCATTAATAACAAACCGGGCTATAGGTGTTTCCACCTACAACCCTTCCGATTACTTTTACTTAGTATTTGCGTGGTAATTTACACCATCAAATTGGCGCCGACCGTGGGATCATTACAAAAACTATGGCCAATCATCAGGAGACCGTCATTTCACAAATCTCTACTCCCGCTGAGAACGCCATGTCGTTCCCGGGAGGGAGTGCCCAACCCTCAACCCAGATTCCTACCCCCATAATCACCATTCCAACGCCTACTCCATTCACTTCCCATGTACCCTCTGTCCCCATTTTCCCTCCAAACTTTCCCGAGCCCATGGACCCGATGTATTCCCAGGGTTTCCAAAATTTTGGACAGTTCATGTCCATGTTTCAACAACCGGGGGGATTTTCTCCCTTCATCCCGGGGCTGTATCCACAGTCTTTACCCCAAACTAACAACATCAGGCCGGTCGTCCCAACAAATCTGACCGGGGAAATGGACAAGGTTGGTCCATCCCGATCTAGAAGAAGCCGGTCCCAGAGATCGCACACCCAGGTCACACCAGATGGCGATGTGCGATCAATCCACAGCAAGGATGAGGACTGGGATGTACCCCAGGCCCAAAAGAAGCTAAAAGGAAAGGCAGTCCAGCCTGAAGGATCCAGGAGATCAGCATTTCAAAGGCTGGGACATGACGGCAGGAATCAGAACCGGCCGGCCAAAGAACGACTAGGAGTGGAGACTACCCCGGTGAGTGCCTTTGACCGATTGGGAAGAGGGGCCGGGCGACCTGGTCGGACCAGGCGCATGGAGCCACCCCCTCGCGATGAGCCCCAGAATAGTCGGGCACCCCGGGATGAAGAAGCCGAAAGCCATCCAAGGCACACGGTCCGCTCCCATATTGAACAACCCCGGGACCGTGTGGGCCAAGTCGAAGCGCGTCTCGAAAAGTTGCAACGACGGGTAGACCGGGATGAAATGAAGAAAATCTTGCTGAACGAATCTCCGTTCACAGACCGGGTTCACGAGACCCCATTTCCAAAGAAGGCGAAGCTTGAGGTCCCGAAATTCACCGGGAAGGAGGACCCGAAAATACACGTCAAAACCCTCCACCAGAGTGGGAGGATGATGGGCCTTTCCGGTGACGAGAAATGTTTGCTCTTCTTCCAAACCCTCCGCGGCCGGGCCGCTGAGTGGTTTCACAACCTCCCTGCCGGCGAGATCGATTCTTTCGATGAACTGGCCGAGGTGTTCCAGGAGAAGTTCAAGGAAAATTGTACCAAGAGGAAGAAATTCACCTACTTGAGTACGGCCAGGCAAAGGGAACACGAAGATCTGACCAAATTCCTTACCCGGTGGAAGGATGAAGTTGACAAGGTGGAGGAGATGGACGACAAAACAGACATGTCCCTGCTGGTCTCCGGGCTTCGTTCTGGAGAATTGTATAAAGAATTCTGCCGGAGACCTCCCCAGTCATATCAGGAGGCCTACAACACGGCCTGGGATTATGCTGACGCTGAAGCACAGGTGTCATCCTAAAGGGAGGCCGAGCAAGGCCATTCCAAGGGAAGGATTTCCTTGAAAAAGGAAATCGAACTGCCCGGTAGGGTAAAAGTAGAAGTCTTGGAAGTAAAGCCAGCCAAGTTAGAGAAAAACTAGTCGGGGAGAAGCAATGGACCGAGAAATATTGCTCCTTCCATAAAACTGACTCCCATAACACTGCAGAGTGCAATATTGTTAAGGGGGTGATCAAGCAGATGATAGAGGTCAGAGAGCTTGACCCAGAATATCTAGCTCAGGCGAAACCAAAGAAGAACCAATGGGTCAGGCCCGAAGGACAACCGGCCGAGCAGAATAAGAAGAAGAAAGCCGCCGGCAAGGAGCACTTGCAGGTCATCTACGGTGGACCGGAAGGTGGAGATTCTGCTTCTCAAAGAAAGAAGTGGGGACGAGAGCTCTATGTGGGGACAATTGCCCTAGCTCCCTGGTCAAAGCAAACCAGAAGGGAGGCGATCACTTTCACAGATCGGGACCTTCCCGCCACCGGCGAAGATCACAATGACCCCTTGGTCATAACCATGGATATGGGTGGAGTCGATGTCTCCCGAGTACTCGTTGACACGGGCAGTAGTGTCAATGTTTTGTACTTAGAGGCGTTTGAGAAACTCAAGCTGTGTCAAACACGGCTTGAGCCCTTGAAGACTCCCCTGTCCGGGTTCACTGGAGACTCTGTTGAAGCTGAGGGACCAATCCTCCTGACTTGCGAATTGGGCGTGGAAGACAAGGTGATCCAGAAACAGATGAGGTTTGTGGTAGTGAACATCAAATGTGTTCACAATGCCATCTTGGGCCGACCAGGAATCAACAAAGTCCGAGGAATCATCTCCATGGCACACCTCTGCATGAAGTTCTATACACCGGGCGGTATAGGACAAGTCAGGGGAGATCAAAAGAAGGCCCGGTCTTGTTATCTGGAAGCTGTGAAAAAGATGACAAAGGCGTTCAAAAGGGTTACCCTGGTTTCCCAGGAGGAAGACCAGTCGAAGTTGGAACCGGGTGACGAGACCGAGCAAATTGTTCTCCGGGAAGCATTTCCGGAGAGAATGGTGAAGATAGGCCGGGACCTGCCTGGAGGACTTCGAGAGGAAGTCATCTCAGTCCTCCGGGAGTTCGCTGACTTATTCGCTTGGAGTGTGGCGGATATGCCGGGCATTGACCGGTCCATTATCTGCCACCGGTTGGCTGTAATCGAAGGTAGCCGGTCGGTGAAACAAAAGAAGAGACACTTGGCGAATGTCCGAAGGGACTTTGTCAAGAAAGAAGTGAGGAATTTGCTGGCGGTCGGGCACATAAGAGAAGTCCAATACCCGGCTTGGCTGGAAAATGTCGTCCTAGCACCAAAGGGCGACACGTGGCGCATGTGCATAGACTACACGGATCTGAACAAGGCCTGCCCCATGGATTCATACCCGCTGCCCAGTCCCGACCAAATGGTCGATGAGACTGCCGGGTGTGAGTTGTTGAGCTTCATGGATGCTTTCAAAGGCTACCATCAGATCTTCATGGCAAAGGAAGATGAGGAGAAGACTTCTTTCTTAACTCCTGAAGGCACATATTGCTACCGGGTGATGGCTTTTGGACTTAAGAATTCAGGCGCTACTTATCAGAGGATGGTAAACCGGCTTTTCAAGCCACTCCTCGGTAAGTCCATGGAAGCCTACGTAGATGACATGCTGATCAAGAGCCCGGGAGCAATGAACCACCCGGCTGACATGAGGCTGTGCTTTGAGATCATGGCTAAGTACAACTTGCGGCTCAACCCCAAGAAATGCGTCTTTGCTGTAAAGACCGGCAAGTTCTTAGGGTTCATGGTAACCAAGCGAGGTATTGAGCCTAATCCCGAAAAGATTAAAGCCATTACCGAGATGAGGTCGCCCGGCTCCCTGAAAGATGTGCAGCGACTAACCTGGCGGCTGGCAGCTTTGAGCCGTTTCCTTTCCCGATCAGCTGAAAGAGCCTTTCCCTTCTTCAAAGTCTTGAAGAAGGCCAACACGTTTGAATGGAACCGGGAGTGTGAAGAAGCTTTCCAGCAGCTGAAGGAGTACTTAGTTTCGGATATAGTTTTGTCTAAACCCAAACCAGGTGAAACTTTGTACTTGTATCTAGGCATATCCCAAAACGATGTAAGCTCCGTTTTGATAAGAAATGAAGACAGCCAGAGGCCTATTTACTACGTTAGCAAAGCACTCAATGGGGCAGAAAGCCGGTATACAGCCATTGAAAAAACAGCGTATGCACTTTTCATAACGGCCAAAAAACTGACCGCGTATTTCCAAGATCACACTGTGGAAGTACTGACTGATCAGCCACTTGGGCCGGTCCTTCCAAATTCAACCTCTTCAGGACGGATGATCAAGTGGGCAATGATGCTCACTCAGTTCAAGATCGAGTATAAACCTAGAACCGCGATCAAGGGACAAGCTCTGGCCGACTTCCTTGTTGAACTGACCGGTCTGGAGCCTGAAGCCGGACCTTCCCATACGGTCGAACCGTGGTGGGATATGGCCGTTGATGGGGCCTTTGGACCGAAGGGATGCGGAGCCGGCATAGTCTTTACTACTCCAGAAGGGTTCAAAATCTACCATGCCTTGGTTTTAAACTTCAAGCTTACCAACAATGAGGCGGAGTATGAGGCACTAGTCGGTGGCCTTAGATTAGCCCGGGCACTTAGGATAAAGAGAATGAGGATCCGTTCTGATTCGAGCTTGGTCGTCGGCCAGGTCAACGGAGAGATGGAAATCAAAGAAGAGCGTCTGACCTGGTCTGAGCACTTTTAAGGGAGTTAGAAGAGTTTCGTCTGACCAGGATACCCCGGTCAGAAAACACCGATGCTGATATGCTTTCAAAGTTAATGCAAGCCTGCCCGAAGCATGTGTCGAAGTTGGCAAAAATTGAAATATTGGACCAACCAAGTGCTGACCGGATTGAGATCGCAGCTATTCAGCAAAGCCAGAGTTCAGCTACCGGGGTGATTGAAGCGGATGATGACTGGAGATACGATCTCATGGAGTATTTAATGACCGGCCAGAAACCGGACGACGAAGAACGAGCCAGGAAGGTTGTCTTACGAGCTCCCCGGTTTCAGGTACTGGATGGTCACTTATACAAACGCGCCATTGGTGGACCCCTACTGCGTTGTCTCACCAACCCAGAAGCAGAACGGGTGATAGCTGAGGTACATGAGGGAGTCTGTGCAGCCCATCAAATGTCCCGTACATTGGCTTAAAGGATAATACTGCTCGGCTACTATTGGCCGACCATTGTTGGGGATTGTGAGCGGTACGTGCAAAAATGTAGGACATGCCAAGTCTTTTACAAACATCCCGGCAGACCGGCTACATATTATCAACCGACCTCTAATGTCATACCCTTTCCCCGATTTGGGATTGACATTATTGGGGCTTTCCCGGTCGCGCAAGGAGGGAAAAAGTTTGTGATGGTTGCTATTGATTACTTTACTAAGTGGATAGAAGCCGAGGCGGTGTCCACTATAACCGTACGACAATGTGAAAAATTCGTTTGGAAAAACATTGTCACCCGGTTTGAAGCCCCAAAGATGATTGTCACTGGCAACGGCCCACAATTTCGCAACCCCCGGTTCACTGCGTACTTGGCCAGTTTTGGAATCAAACACAACAAGGCGTCAGTGGCATATCCGCAAGGAAATGGCCAAGTTGAAAATGCTAACCAGACGATAGTGGATGGGCTAAAAAAGAGGTTGGGTGAAGAAGGGCACAAGTGGTTGGAAGCACTCCCTCACACGATCTGGGCGCACCGAGTCACCTCGAGAAGAGCAACCGGGGAGACTCCTTTCGTGCTCACTTATGGATGTGAAGCTCGGTTGCCAATTGAGGCAGAATTCCCAACGTTTATCATCCCGATCAGAACGAAGCCGACCACCTAGTTGAGTTAAATCTGGTGGAAGAACGAAGGACCATGGCAGCTGTCAAGATGGCCGGCTACCAGCAGTCAGTAAAGAGATATCATGACAACCGGGTGGGTCCATGTTACTTCCAAGTGCATGATGAAGTCTTACGCAGAAGGGATGCTAGTAAGCCTAATGAAAGGGGCAAGCTAGTGCGCAACTGGGAAGGACCCTATCGCATAAGGGTGATCATCAGGCCGGGCACTTATCAGCTAGAAACCATGGAATGAGGGCGAGTTGACCGGCATTGGAACTCTCACCACTTGCGTAAATTCTTTAGATAAAGTGTAATGAGTTCCCGGTTATGAATAAAACTTTGTTCTTTTTAGAAAGATTGTTTCTAAACGCCAACCGGTAATTGGTCACACACCAATCTGCCCGGCTAGATGTCCAATCGAATTGGACATCTCAAAAAAAAGAGAGAGACCGGTCGAACTGATCATACCTTTCATCCGTACTAACACGGAGGTCAAATGACGTAACTAAAGGGAGAGCATCCCGGTTAGTTATGTCAGATGATTGAAGAAAAATATAAGGCTTACCTTTCAACAAGGGCAGTAAGCCGTTGTGAAAGACAGGTCGGCTTGCCATTGCCATCGCAGGTCTACAAACCGGCCGGGAGAAGATGGGTCTGATCTATTCTCTCCCCGGCCACCCAGTGAGTCTTTCGACCGGACTTGGGTAAAACAGTGTAAGAGATCGAGTAATTGCAGCCGGGATGTAGCTTACTAATCTACACGGTTGAAAATGTAAAGTTGCACGGAGTCTATAACAGACAAAGTATAAATAATAAGTAAAGTACTCAGGCACTCAACACACGATATGGAAGAAAGAATTTTCATTAATATTGAAGACTTACAAAAAGCGCCTGGAGGCAAATCATTACATTGAAAGATTAAAAAAAAAGCGCATGGAGGCAGATCATTACATTGAAAGATAAAAAAAAGAGAGAGAAAGAAGGCCGGATTTTGAGGATCAGATTCCTGAGAAGGGTGGAACCGGCGCCTCATCATGCAGCTCGGGCAGAGAAAGGGCCTTGGGCTGAAAGCCTTGGATTCGCTGCTCAAGAATGCCATACAGCGCTCGGCGTTCGTCATACTGGCCACTTTCGAAGCCAAAGGTCACGATTTCATCAACGACCTTGGCTGATGGCTCGTGCTTGTAGAGCCCTTGGATCAGCCGGATGGCAGCATCCCGATCAGCGATGGCCCGGCTAGCAAACTGCTCTGGCTCTCGATCAACGTTGGTCTATGCAATTGACATTCTAAAAAAGAAAACTAGCCTTTTTATTCCTACGCATTAAACACACGGTATTATTTAACTCCTAAAAATGAAGGCTTTGCCCGACCCGAATAGAATGAAGGCTTTGCCCGAACCGAATCAAATAGGCGGGGAAAATCGGTTGCTATTATTTCGCCTGTACATACCAGATTAGCTCGCATGCCAAACAAGACGACATTCCATGACCACTTGACCAGGAGGAGCTCGTCAACTTCTCAGGACATGGCGAACCCGACAAACAATCCGAATCCGACGGACGGGTCGGGCAAGAGAGTCCGGAAACCCTACACCATAACCAAGTCCAGAGAGAGCTGGACTGATGAAGAACACGACAAGTTCCTTGAAGCTCTTCAACTGTTAAGCCCCTCCTTTACTCTCTCTCTCTCTCTCTCTCTCTCCCAAACTTTCTCTATCTTTCCGTGGCGTGTTGAGCCCCCCTTTGTGTTTGAATTGTTCGTTCCTGTAGAAATTATGAGCTTAGATGCGTGTTTAATGGAGGAATTTGCCGTTTTTGTATAAGTTTGCAGGTTTTTTTTGTTTATCAATTAGCAATTATTGAGTTTAGATGTGAATTTGAGTTAAGAAGATTGGATTTGGAGGAAGTTTGTGTTACGTTTCTCTAACACAATGTTTGGTTCAAGGAATTTGAAATGGAAAAGAAAAGAAAATGAGATAGAAAACTTCGGATAGAGAGAAAAAAAAGAAAAGTGGAAGGAAAAGGAAATGAGAAGACAAAATATACTAAGAGGAGGGAAAATCAAATTCCTCCCATTTTGGTGAGGAAAATGAAAGAAAACCATTTTCTTTTCCTTCCAAATTCCTTGAACCAAACAGTGTAAATGTTCAATGTTGATATGATTTCTTGATAATTTGCCAGAGTATAAAGAGGGATTCTCATTTTGGTATAGGAACTGTATTCTGATGCTTTTATATACGGAGTGTTAAACTTCTTTTTTTCTTAAATTCTATCGGGGGGTTTCAGGTTTGATCGTGACTGGAAGAAAATTGAAGATTTTGTGGGTTCAAAGACAGTGATTCAGGTACCATTTCATCTCTAATAGGCAGTTAGAGATTACTTCTTTTTCTTCTGTTCTTGTGTTCTTGCTTCCATGATATTTGTGCAAATTTTGATTGCTTTCGAAATGTATTACAGATTACATGTCTGGCTTTCCTTTCAACAAAGCATCTATCAAATGATAAAATGGATATTGACGATTTTTGCAGTTCGTGTGTGTATACACTAATACACATACATGCCTGTGCGTGTGTGCTTTGCTAATTTTTTTAAAAATTAACCTGCAGATTCGGAGTCATGCCCAAAAGTATTTCTTGAAGGTCCAAAAAAACGGTACAACAGCACATGTGCCCCCACCTCGGCCCAAGCGTAAAGCATCTCATCCTTATCCCCAAAAAGCTTCAAAAAATGGTTCGTCTTTAGTTTGTTCACTGTTGTAGTGATTTTATGCATGCCTATCTTTTGAATGTTTACATACTTTCCTTCTGTTTGTTTAAAACTATGGGCAGTTTTAGTGCCACTGCAGGGGCCTGTGGCTAATCCTCCTTTAGTGATTCCTCTCGCACCTGTGTATGACACTTCCCTGCTTGTAAACACTTCGACCAGTGGAATCATGTCACGAGAAGATGAATTTTACAGTCCTGTAGATGAAGGTATTCTTAGGAATTTGAATGTATTTTTTTCTGAACTCACATACGTACACTTTTTTCTTCATATGAAAGGATTTTCCTGCACATTGTGGTGAATAACATTCATAATTCACCAGATACTGGAGCAAAGGGAGCAGAAGTAGTCAGCAACAATGTTGATGGAGTTGGGAGTTCTAGTAGAGTAGTGCCAAAACAGAGCGAGCTAGGTTCACGACTACATGGTAAATTCTTTGCTACTCTGCATGAATACTTTTTAGTACTCCCTCTGTTCCAAAAAGATATTTATAGCTACTATTCTCTGGATCAGACCATATCTTCTTTCTTAAAACATTTCATTGATCATTTGTTAAAATAAATTAGTCAAGCCACCTCTTGTTTTATAGACCTAATAGTGTTGTTTAAAATATACGGAGCACAACTTACTTCAGGTATTTTTTATTTTACATAAGTATATAAATAAATTAAATTAAAAATAACTTCAATTATCATCCATTGCTAGTGGAGCTAAAAGAGTCATTTTTAACAATGCTTTAGCTTTGGGTAAATAATGGACTAAACCAACTTGATATTTTAAACTTCCTTTGCTTCTTACTTTATATGAAGTTCTGTGGAGTGAATGCTACAATGCATCATGAGTCTAACAGAAACAATCTCTAATAGGGATAAGATGCATACATCTTGAACCCCTGACCCTAAAGAGGTTGGGATTATTTTGTATTTGTTGTTTTTATTGTTGAATCAAAAAATACCATTGGTCAAACATGGTAAACTGAATCAACAACAACAACATTACCCCAATGCGTCAACGGCTACCGCCCATTGCGAGGTAAGGGGGGTCGGATGTATGCAGTCAAAACCCCTATGTTTAAAACATAGAGCGGCTGTTTCCAGATGACCCATAATGAGCGTTGAAATTTGCATTGACCAAGTGCTACTTCACAATTGCAAGAAGCGCAGACAATTTAGAGAGACAATTTGCTTTATTCCATTATATCCCAAAGCTAAAAATAGTGAATCTTCGGCTCTACAAATTTGGGATGGAGAAATTAGCATTTGCATTTTTTCCAAAGAAATTCCCATCGTCGACATGGTTTGCTACAAAGTGGTTGGTTTCTTGACTAATGTTAAGGTGTGTTGATTAAAAGGTTTTTGTTCCATTACATGCCCACCTAGGGTATGAATCTTTCATTTTTTTATTCTTTTGAATTATAGGGGCCAGTGGCGTAAAGGGTTTTGAAACTTTCTTCCGTGCATTTTACGGCACTGGTATTTGTATGCTTGTTGTGGTTCACATGCGTTGCTGGTAGAAAAATGGTTTTGAACACTTGGATCATCTTTTTTTTGGAAGTGTCGGTGTATTAATTGTAGAGACAATTAATGATGATAGAATATAGTTCTGGCTATAAGAGACATGTTGATCATATTCATTTATTAAGTTGATCTTTGTTTCCATTTACACAATTTTTGGGCTCGTGAAAAAAAGAAGTGCAAAAAGGCATATCTTGAAATACCGAATTGTGGGTTTTTTTCTAATCAGGATTACCAGATTTTGGAGAAGTGTACAAGTTCATTGGAAGTATGTTTGATCCAGACACTAAATGTCAAGAGCAGGAGCTCAAGGAGATGGACCCTATCAATCTCGAAACAGTAAGTGTTGGAACTAATGAAGATTGCAATTTTCTCCTTCTAATAACCCCATCCCCCATATGAAATAAGTTGAGTTTGTAATAATATATTTAGCATTAGAAACAAAGTGGGTCTGTGGTTGTGACTTGTGCATGTTGGATACTGAATGAAGTCTTCAGGCCAAAGCTAGGGGCCATGCTTATTATTGATAAAGAGAATAAAGGACAGGCCATTGCACGAAGCTTCCCTGTAAATGCGGGCCAGGGAAGGGTCCCCCACAAGGGTGTAATGTAGGCACACCTTACCCCTCTTTTCTGCAAGAGGCTGCTTCCAGGACTCGAACCCGAGACCACACGGTCACTCAGGCAACAATTCAACCATTGCGCCAAGGCTCCCCCTTCAATGCAATGAAAAGTGAGGAAAGTGGATGGTGTATTGGGCGTTTTGGTTGAGGGGGCAAGGAAGAGGGATTCACCATGTAAGATGTGGGATGAGGAGTTGATGTTGGGCTTCACTGTTTTAACTTTTAAACCCTCAGAAGTCGGAATATATAATCTCTAATAGTAGTTCCTAGAGATACCGAATTAAAGTTGTAGGGTCCTTTCAGAGCTTGGAGGTTGGACTTTGTGGTTTAATGTTTTAACTTCTAAGGTTTTTGTACTGCTCAAACTACGTGTCATTGCTTACCGGTGTTCTGAGTTCTGACATTTAATTTTGGTTCTGACATAAGCTAGAATGTTATTCATAGGTACAATTAAGTTACAGCTAAAGAGTTTATATTACACTAAAGACTACTAAAGAGAAGATTGATAGCATTCTCAAGATTTAAGAGGCAATGACATCTGTATAGAGATACACAATGGGAATGTTGTGTTAGGGCTTGTTCTCTTTACTTGATTTGATTGGTTCTAATCTAATCTGGTTTGAACTGATTCTAGTTGTATTTAAAACTGTTTCTGATTTGATCTGGTCTGGTCTAATTCCAATAAGAATAAGTAATAAGAATAAGTTGAAGAGAACAAGCTTTTACTCTGGGTCAAATAACTGTAAATTACATTCTCTGGTCAGCAATTTTGTTTTTAATGAAAGTTTGCTGGATTTTATGGATATGCAGGTATTATTATTGATGAGGAATCTAAGTATCAACTTGTCTAGCCCCAACTTTGAGCCTATTGTAAGCCCGCCTCTTTCTTGAATATCCTTTATGGTGTGATTTTTTGCTCTTATTTCCCTGCTCTTCTTGATATCTTGTTTATTTTCTCTCTAAATTTCCCCAATATCAACTGCCCGGCCTAGATAACTTATACTCCGGACAAGTTTAAAGAATGAATGGGGATGATACTTGTATTTTTAAGTTCTTCATGTCTTCTTCACAAACTAGCCATAAAGTCCTTGGGGTAGAGGTAAGGTTTGCGTACATCTTCCCCCCCTAGACTCTACTCTAGAGTCTAAAGTGGGATATGCTGAGTTGGTTTGGTTTGGTTTGTCAACTAGCCGAAAAGTTGGAAAAGCCCCCCCC